CTGCACTCCAGTCTGGGTGACAGAGTGAGACTCCAACTCAAACAAAAAAAAGAGCCGGGCATGGTGGCGCGTGTCTGTAGTTGCAGCCACTTGGAAGGCGGAGACAGAAGGATTCCTGGAGCCCAGCAGATCGACGCTGCGGTAGCTGTGAGCGTTCCACTGCATTCCAGCCTGGGCGAGGGCGTGAGACTCGGACTCAAAAAAATAAGAAAAAATAAAACAAACAAGAACTCTATGATACTATGATAGACATTCTTGAGATAATTGGGAAAATTTGAATATGGACTTGATATTAGGCGGCTTTTATGAAATTACTTTAAAATTTGATAGTTGTGACAACGTATTGTGACTATGTAGGAGCCTGTTCTTTTTTTTTTTTTTTTCTAGTTGGAGTCTTACTTGTTGCCCTGGCTGGAGTGCAATGGTACGCTGCCGACTACAGCAACCTCCACTTGCTGGGCTCAGGCAATCCTTTCGCCTCAGGCAATCCTTCCGCCACAGGCTTCCACTAATTTTTCTTGATTTATTGTAGAGACGAGGGCTCACTAATTTGCCCAGACTGGTCTTGAACCCGTGAGCTCAGGCAATCCTCTCGCCTCGGCCTTCCAAAGTGCTGGGATTACAGACTTGAGCCACCGCGTCTGGCCAGGAGCCTGTTCTTAGAAGATACATGATGACATATTTAGGACTGAATATCCTCATGTCTGCAATTTACTTTCACTTTGGTACAAATAAATATAAAGCAAATATGGCAAAATATTAACAGCTGTTGACCCTAGATGAGGTCTGTTTATTGAATTGTTTCAAATTTTCTATTTGACAATTTCAGTAAGAAAGCTGGCAAATATATCGACGAAGACATTTTTGTTTTCGTCATATTTAGCACAATGCAAGAAAGTTTATATTGTTTACTGAAAACATACTATAGTAATGTTCGTTTCTCATAAAAAGAGTTCTCTAAGGGGGATGAGCTGTGACAGTCGTTTTTTTCTTTTAGTTTTAGCGTGCACTTTTATTCATCCACACATTTTGTGTACTGCAAGTAATTTTGAGACGCTGACATCTGATCGTCATCATTCTTGCTACTACCAGGCCCGCCAACCGCTGAACTCCTTTGCTTTCCTGGGAAAAGCCTGCTGGTGGGGTTTATTTTCCTTCTCTACGTTGGCCTTGCGGGCGACCTCTCCGGTCTTCCGCCCGCGTCCGGGCGGGTGCTCGCAGAGAAACGCCTGGCGCGCCCCCTCCCGGCCCCGCGGACGCAGCTCGGCCCCGCCGCCCGCCGCC